CCTAGAGGGGGGACCCCAAATGGGCATTTGAAATGGGGTCCAGAACTTAAGGTGTCCAGGAGATTTTAAGATGTCTCCATCCCCCCAACCCAGGGTGTGGGTTGGGGGAAGGGACAAATGGAGCAGGGCCATGGAGAGCTGTTTTGCATAGCAACAGCCTTGCAGCTACCCTCTGGCGTGGTCATTTAACATATCTATAGCCTTTGGCTGGTTGTATGGATATGTTAAATAGCTGTGATCATCTCTGAGCCAGGGGAATGGAAGTAACTTCCCCATCAACACGTGACTGGGGCAGATCCCCCAAGCTACAGCGCCTGCGTGGGAGCTCGGAGAAGATTGGCTCCAGGACATGGGGCCACACCTGCCCAGACTCAAGATGGCAGCCCAGTAAGGCTAGAAGGATATGAATTCTGGCATGTGAAGCCGAGTGTGGGAGGAGTCGGAAATGAGGTTGCAGAGGAAGATTGGCCGCGGGGATTTAAAACCCAGACTTGGTGGCCATTAGAGAGAGAACCATGCGGCTTTAGCAGAATAGGGAGGACTTCAGCCATTGAGGGAGAACCATGCTGCTTTAGGAAGGAGAGCCATGCGCAGCCCTGAGGAGGTGAACCATGCGCAGCCCAGAGAGAGGAAAACCATGCGGCTTTAGTAGAATAGGGAGGACCTCAGCCATTGAGAGAGGGAGAAGTGTGCTGCTTTAGGAGAGAGAACCACGCGGCTTTGGCAGAGTGGGGACTCTCCCCTTCCCGCAGCCCTGAGAGGGAGAACCACGAGGCCTGGACAAAGTGGGGACCCCCACAGCTTTAGAAGGGGAACCACCACCTGGTTTTAGCAGAGATCCCAGCGACTCAGCCGAGGGTGCAGGGAACCCAGGGAGGTCTCCCAGTCGAGATGGAGGACTAACTAAGAACCAGAGGACTGTATGAGCCATGGACTTCATTTTCCTTTCCTGAGATACGGTACTCTGGACTGGGCAAAGGGAAAAGGAAGGAAGGACTGTGACTGTGTTTGTGGGTGTTTTAAGGGACTTTGGGATTTTTGATAAAGACATTAGGTCACTACTTTAAGTTTGTATAGCATTAAATAAACATTTCCTTTCCTTTTCACGAATCTCTGGCATTGAGAGACGTCTTTCCTCTGGCGGTGGACATAACAGACCCGGGGCCTTCTTTCAATAATAGTATATCGCCTCAGGCCCCCCTTGTTGTGTTCTGTAACACCCTGACCAGTGTGGTTCAGTTGGTTGGGCATTAATTTGCAAAGCAAAAGGTCGCTGGTTTGATTCCCAGTTAGGCACATGAGTGTGTTGCATTTTTGGTCCCCAGTTGGGTTTTTGTGCAAGGGGAAACCAGTAATGTTTCTTTCCTGCATCAGTGTTTCTCTCCTTCTCTCTCTCCCTTTCTTCCCCTCTCTAAAAATCAATAAATAAACTCTTTTTTAAAAAATAAGCATAATCTTTAAGTAAAGAAAACTACTTCCACATAGACTATCTCTGAAAGAGACACAAGACAGCAGTAACTGCTTCCAGAAAGGGGAAGTGAGTGGCTGGGAAACATGTGCCTTTTCTGTGCCTTTTGAATTTATACCATATGAATATATTAAACATTTCAATAATAAGTAACTTTCTTAAAAATAGCATGTAATAGTCCTAACAATGTTTCTCTTTACTTTCTAGTTTTAATTATAGCTTACTTGTACTTCAGACTGATTCTGTGAACTTAAAGGAAGAAACGAAAGTTCAAGAAAGAAATCATGAATGTACATAAAAGATCCTCACACAATTTTCCAACAAAATTTAAAATTGTGTATGGAAGAGAAATACTATGTACTGTAATCTATAAAAATCTGTGTGAATGCTATGAAATAGGGAGGGATGTTTTAAAAGTTTTAAGTCAAGATTTTCCATCCTCTTTCTCAGGCATGTCAACCAATGGTCTTTGGCCCCAGTTCAACATCAACAGGAATCCCCAGTATGGGGTGTGGTGAGGACGGAAACTTTACTCGGTGCAAAACTGTGATAGAGCTCAATTGTGATAGAGCACAGTCATGAAAATAGCACAGTTGTGAGGCAGCCCTGGGGCCAGGCCCCTCTCTGATTAGACATCTCTGCTCTGACCTCACTGGTCATCTACTGCTGGTCTACTACACTGTGCTCTGCGAAGACATCTCTGTGTTTCAGCTCTGATGGAAAAAACAATTGGAGCTAAAGTCTCCAGTCTTCAGTGGAAAGGGAAAGTGAGCTTCAGAGCCCCAGGTGAACTGGACAGAAGTCCCGGCCCTGGTCTGTGCTTGCTCTGTTTGATGCAAATGAGGACTCCAAATTCTTAGTTTGATTGGTTCAAAAGGCATTGTTCTGATTGGTCAAAATGGAGCCATCCTAATTGATCAATGAAGAAACTGATGGGGATATAGCTCTGCAGCTCCAAGGGAACAGGGAAAGCTTCAGGCCTATTGGTTGAAATAGAATTCCAGGAACTCCTTTATAAGGGCTGGCTCAGATGGCAGAGAATCACAGTACAGGCTAGCAGTTCAAGCAGAGGCAGATATTTAAGTGCAGGCTTCTCCCTAAAGTGCAGTTTGTGTGAAAGGTCCGTGAAAAATGGCTGCTAGACTCGGGTTCTTTTTTCTTTTTAATTTGAGCCCAGTTAGTTCTATGATTATGCTGTTACATTTGTCCCAATTTTTCCTCCTTTGCCTCCCTCCACCTGGTAACCTCTTTCCTTCCAGTGATTCCACCCCCTTAGTTCATTCATGTCCATGGGTTGTGAACATAGGTTCTTTGGCTTCTCCATTGCCTATCCTGTTCTTAACATCCCCCAGCTTATTTTATACCTACCAATTATACTTACAAATCCCTGCACCATTTCTCCATTCTCCCCCTTTCCCCTCTCAGTTGATAACCTACCAAATGACCTCCATATCTATGATTCTGTTCCTGTTCTGGTTGTTCACTTGTTTTTTTTGTTGTTGTTTTTATTTTTTTTAAAGATTTTATTTATTTATTTTTAGAGAAAGAAGGGAGGGAGAAAGAGAGGGAGAGAAACATCAATGTGTGGTTGCCTCTCACATGGCCCCCACTGGGGGACTTGGCTCACAACCCAGGCATGTGCCCTGACTGGGAATCGAACCAGCAACCCTCTGGTTCACAGCCCGCACTCAATCCACTGAGCTACACCAGCCAGGGCTGTTGTTGTTTAGATTCAGTTGTTGATAGTTGTGTATTTGTTGCTTTTTTAAGGTTCATGGTTTTGATCTTCTTCTCTTAAATAAGTCCCTTTAACATTTCATGTAATAATGCTTGGTGGTAATATACTCCTTTAGCTTTATCTTGCCTGGGAAGCACTTTATCTGCCCTTCCATTCTAAATGATATCTTGGCTGGATAGAGTAATCTTGGTTGCAGGTCATTGCTTTTCATCACTTTGAATACTTCTTACCAGTCCCTTCTTACCTGCAAAAATTCCTTTGATAAATCAGCTGACAGTCTCATGGAAACTACTTTGTAAGTAATTATATGCTTCTCTCTTGCTGCTTTTAAGATTCTCTATCTTTAACCTTTGGCATTTTAATTACGATGTGTTTTGGTGTGGTCCTCTTTGGGCCCAACTTGTTTGGGACTCTCTGTGCTTCCCTGTACTCATATGTCTTATTTCCTTCACCAAATTAGGGAAGTTTCCATAATTTCTTCAAATAAGTTTTCAATTTCCTTATGTTCCTCTTTTCCTTTTGGCATCCCTGTGATTTGGATGTTGGCAATTTTGGAGATGTCCCAGAGGTTCCTAAGCCTCTCATTTTTTTGAGATCTTGTTTGTTCTTTCTGTTATGGTTGAATGTTTATCTCTTCTTTATGTTCCAAATTGTTGGTCTGAATCCCAGTTTCCTTCCCCTCCCTGCTGATTTCCTGCACATTATTCTTTATCTCACTAGTATAAATTTCATTTCCTCCTTTATTTTTTTACCATACTCAAGCAGTTCTCTGAGCACTCTGATAACCAGTGTTTTGAACTCTGCATCTAATAGATTGGTTATCTCCATTTCATTTAGTTCTTTTTCTTGACTTTTGTTCTTTCATTTGGGCCATATTTCTTTGACTCCTCAACTTAGCAGCCTCCCTGTGTTTGTTTCTGTGTATTAGGTAAAGCTGCTTTTACTCCCTATCTTAGTAGGTGGGTGGAGCCTTAGGTAATTGCCAGGGTGAGGAACCCCCTTCACTGCTTTGTGGCTATATGCAAACAGCTCAGAAAGGGGACACCATCTCTGAGCTTCTGGCGGTTTGCCTGGAGCTCACCCCTTTTCCAGTCATTTCATCCCTTTCCCATGTGTGACTGGTGCCCTTCCAGCTGCTGCCCATGTGGTAAATCCCAGAATGGGTGAGTTTGCATACATTCTAAGACTGTGCTGGCCCTTTAAGCAGTGAAAATAGACTCTTAAACATTGCTTGCTTGCTATTCAATTATGTAAAGCAAGGGTATTCACTGGCCTTTCTACAATAACTAAATATAAAATATCCTCAAATTATTTTAGTAGGACTTTGATACCTAAAAACACTGGGATTTGACATTTAGAATAATTCCATTGTAATTCCTCCCAAACCAATATGAACAGATCCTAAAACTTAAGAATTACAAAAGGCTTACTAGATCATTTAATTCAATCCCCCATTTTACAGATATAGAAACCAAAGCCCAGAAAGTTTAAACTCAAATTTGCAGAACCATAAAAGCCATAATTAGAATCCAGATGTTCTATCTCCCCAACCAGTCTTGCCTCTAATAGAACAAAGTTACAAAAAGTGTCCTTCAAATTTCTTTTATGGCTCTATACTTTGAATAAGTTTTCTGTCAAAAAGATGCTCACTGTTTAATATAGGAGAATAGGGAATAAATCTTTAAAAGAATTTTACTATAATCTCTTGGGATCAATAACATATTGAAAGGTTTCTACAGTGGAAGTACATTCCTAAATAAGTAAACCCAAGATAACAGGTGGCAAAACAATAAAGAAAGAGCAATTTTATTTTTAAATAAAGTCAAAAATCAACTTCACAAAATAACTTTATCAATGTAAACTATTTTTAAGTAGAAATAAGGACTGATCATATGTACATCAAATTGTACTCTCATTCACTGACATAAGCACAAACACTCCATACAAGTTAATACAAAGGCAAATACATAACCATATAGAAATGAATGTATAAACACAAATAACTGCAGACACGCCTTACTATTTCCTGAGGCCAAAATCTTCACATAAATTTACTAGCAAATATAGCAAAATATCAACATAAGTGAATATATATATATAGGCATAAATGCCAAAACCCAAAGTGACATATAGTATATAATATAGGTGCTTTCATGCATATGCATAAACATATAGTTCAGTCAGAAATAGCTCAGACAGAAACATACTGTGATCTACAAAACACCCAATAATATTGTAATCTTTCCACTACTAGCAAAAACGCAAAGGCTCACAATGAAATTGAGTTTAATAAAATGCTCATGCTCTTAAATAACGGAAACAGAAGAAGAAATCAGATTCTAAAGCCATCCTCAGTGCCACTGAGTTTCTTAAAAGTGTGAAGACAACTTTAAAGACTTAATAGCACACAGAGAAGTTGGTGACTCCTATCTAAAACAAAGATTATTTACTAAATGAAGTCACTGAAACTAAACAGGAAAACAATCTGTAAATTAAATTCTTTTTACTTTAAAGGCCCTGCTAGAGGCTTGTTGCTCTAATTCATGACTTGGGGATGCAAAACTAAAAAAGTTGTTGCTGGGTTCGGGTGCTGTGGGAGAACCCACAAAAAATGGTCTGAACTGAAAATCTCCATCTCCACCACCACGATTTTGAACTGGTGTACTGTCCAAAGGAAACTTGGATTTGTTCCCTAGAGGAAAAAAAAAGAGGGGGAAAAACTTAAGCATCTATTTACTTACAGATATTTAGGGCCAAAAGACAAAAGTCATTTAATAAATATTTTAATAGAACTCAACTCATACAAGATGGATAAAATATAAAACTAATGTTGGATCAAGAAAGGACCATCAATGGCCCCCAAACCATCTCCCTGACCACAGGATCTATTATACCTTCTTCTGTGATGCAGTTTCTAATTATAGCCATCACCTCATCACCAAAAGTAATTTGACACAATGAAATATGTTTTTGGCAGAGCTAGAATTTACAATATCACAATTTTATTCATTTGTTATAAAATCTAGTTCAAAGGAATAGAATATATGTGTGTATGTGTGTGTATATAAAATCTTTAGTCCCAGGTTCTTTAACAGTAATTTTTTTAAGATTGCCATAAATACTCCAGAAAATATATGACAACTTGAAAAACTGGCACATACTCATGACCTGAGATCAATTGGAATAGCCTTAAGAAAAATCAGACAATAGATCTGATTAAATAAAGCATTTAACAATTTCCACTGGATCCCTCCTGGGTTTCTACAAGTTTTAAAAGGAACACATAACTAAAGGAGAATGCTGACTATATCTGCTTCAAGCCAAAAATGGTAGTAAGAGGTAAAACTAAAAAGGTAATTGTATACAAAAGAGGAACAAAAAAGAATTGATGAATATGAAAGAAATCAAAATAAATGTGGATAGTGACAAGGAAAAAATAAGAACCTACAATGCCCATATACAATAATACTTGATTCACTGCATCTGCGAAGGCACCTAACAAGCAGAAAAGGGCTACTATCACTTTAGAATTTGCACTTCCAGAGGACACAAATCCTATCTGCATAATCTTTACATCATTGCCTAGAATTATTCCTAGCAACCTGGAACATAAAACATGTTTGATAAATAATTGATGAATGGATGACTAAACAAAAAAATCAACCCAACAACTCACAATAACTTAAGAACTGTGCAATCAGCACTACCCTGTGAAAGCAAGTGAAACATGGCCTTCTTGGTGGATCACAAATGGTTAAAAGTTTGGGCTCTGAAGAGAGCTCTGTGACCTTGACCAATTTATTTTAACTTTCTGTACTTCAGTATTTTTTATCTGTAAAGTAGGGATAATAATAATATCTACCCTATAAAGTTATTTAAATAACACGAATACGTATAGAATTATAACAATACCTAGCGAGCACTTGGTAAAGAATCAAATGGCAGCTAACACTATTATTATTACTACAACTAAATAGCTTTCATTTAGAGTAACAATTTACAACATTTTCTTTTGAAGAGATATACTCTCTCTTCAAACTGAAGCTATAACTTAAACATAAGCAAATACAATAGATAAAGCAATGATGTACAGAACAGACATGGATGAAGAATCCAGAGCCTTTGAAGTCTCCATTGACTACTTGGCACCATGCAGAACACAATGTGAAAAATCACTGATTTAAGGAATAGATGTTAGATAATTAATTACATGTTTTTCCTTACCTAATGGGAAGCCAAAAATACCAGATTGTGAAATCATGGATGGCTCAAGGGTACCTTCCTGGTTAGCAATAGTGATGTTTCGTAGCCTAAGGCTATCATAGAGGCCTTGGAGCTTTTGATACTGACGATTTCGCTCCATAAGTTTCTCAGAGATGTCACTGAACTTTTTCTTATATTCTTCTAGCACTTTCTTCATGGAGGTGACTTCCCCTTTCATAGAGGTCAATTCTACATCCTTGCTTTGTATTTGCTGAGTATATATCTTCTCGATCTGCTTCAGATGGCCCTCAGCCTTGCTGAATTTGTATTCTTGATAGAGACGCTCCTGATGTACCTGTCCCAAGAGAGGGGAAAAAAATGTTTTTAAGGTAATAAAAGTTTTGTATTGTAAAACTTTACACAAATACAAAAAGAAAAAAATGCTTATCCTGGAATATAATTAGTGTTTAGAACTAGGTTAAGAAGCAATCAGGATGTATAATAGGATGATTATTATAGAAAATAATACATTATGTCCCTAAATGCATAGAAAAAAATCTGGAGGAATACTCTGAAACCACTACCATCATACCAACAAAAGAAGTGGGTACTTGTCTAACCTTAGCAATTGACTTATAGTCCAAAAGTTTTTAAGAAACGCAATTCTATGTTTCAAGTATACCATACTGTATATCATACTGTGGAGAACAGATTATAAGGTATCCTCCAATTATTCCTGCCTCTTGGTACTTATTTCCTTCTACCACCTCCGAGAGTGGATGGGACCTGTGACTAAAACACAGAAAAAAAAATGACAAATGTCACTTCATGAGTACATTACGTAAGAATATAAGACGTGTCTTACTAGCATCCTCTTTCTCTTGCTGGCCTTGTGGAAGCATGCAGCCAGCTGGGAAGGCCAACAAGGCAAGTAACTGAGAGCAGCCTCTGGGCAATAGCCAGCAAAATATTGAGATCACAATGAATCCACTCATAGACGTTACACCCTTCACAAAATTAACTCAAAATGGGTCACAGGCCTGAATATAAAATATAGAACTATAAAATTCCTACGTGATAACATACAAGAAAATCTAAATGACCTTGGGTTTGGTGGTGACTTTTTATATACAACATCAAAAGCAGTATCTATGAAAGAACTGGTAAGCTGGACTTTATTAAGACTAAAATTTTCTGCTCTGTGAAAGATAATGTCAAGAAAATAAAAAGACAAGCCACAGACAAATAGAAAATACTTGCAAAAGACTTATCTGGTAAAGGACTGTTACCCAAAATGTACAAAGAATCCTTAAAACTCAACAATAAGAAAACAACCCAATTAAGATGCACAGATGGCAAATAAGAAAATGAAAGATACTACACATCGCATGTCATTAGGGAAATGCAAATTTAAGCATTAAGATACCACTACACACCTACCAAAGTGTCCAAAATCCAGAACAATGACAATAGCAAATGCTTGTAAGGATGTGGAGCCAAAAGAACTCTGTCATTGCTGGTAGGAATGCAAAATGTTATAGCCACTTTGGAAGAGTTTGGCAGTTTCTTGCAAAACTAAACCTACTCTTACCATACAATCCAGTAATCATGTCCCTTGGTATTTACCCAAAGGAGTAGAAAACTTTTGTCCTGTACATAGATGTTTACAGGAGCTTTATTCGTTAATTACCGAAACTTGGAAGTAACCATGATGTCCTTGAGTAAATGAATAAATAAACTGTGATGCGATGGAAAATTATTTAACACTAAAAAGAAATAAACTATCACACCTTAAAGGCCTATTACTAAGTGAAAGGAATCAGTCTGAAAAGGCTACGAACTGTATGATTCCGATTATAATACAGTGTGGAAAAGGCAAAACTATGGAGACAGTAAAAAGATCAGTGCTTGAGGGTAAGAAGGGATGAATAAGTGGTACACAGAGGATTTTTAGGGCAGTGAAACTACTCTGTGTGATACCATCATGGTAAGATACATGTCATTATACATTTGTCCAAACTCGCAGAATGTGTAACACAAAGAGAGAACCCTAACATAAACTATGATCTTTGGGTGATAGTGATATATGTCAATGTAGGCCAGGAAATGTTTGAACCTTCTCAATTTTGCTATGAACCTAAAACCACTTTAAAAATAAAGTCCATTAAAGACAAAAACAACAACTGAGTCCCTCAGTCTAATAGTCCACAAGGAAGCGACTCTTGCCAACAACCACATGAGCCTGGAAATAGATTCTTCCTGAGTCAAGGTTCACAGAGTGCAGCCCCTGTCAGCACTTTGATTACAGCCTTGTGAGACCCTGAGCAGAGTCCAAGCTTGAACTCATGATCCACAGAAACTGAGATAATAAATGCATGTTATTTTAAGCAACTAGGATGTTTTAAGCCACTAAGTTTGTTACATAGCCAAAAATATAGCCAAAGACAACTTACTACACATAGAAACCAATTTTGGCTTATATTTGGATTCACTATCCTTTTAGATATTGACAGAAAGTGAAATATAAATGCTCTCCTTTTTTTTAACCATTTTGAACTTGCCTATTCTATGTAGTTGGATGTAACTCCACCAAGTCTGGATTACCTATCCCTACTATATGGTCTCACAGCACTCTATACTTCCCTTATCATTGTGGACATTAAAAATGTATTGTAAATGTCTGCTGTTTTTTCTTAATGTTTAGCACCACTAAACTGTAGCATCCTTGAAGCTCACGCTTTCTTCATTATTGTATATCCAGCACCTAAGAAGGTACATGAAATATAAATGTTTCAAGGGACTCAAAAAATATGTTGAATGACTAAATAAAAATAAATAAATAAATAAATGAAGTAAAGAAAATTCATTTCTGGCTACCTTACTAACCCATTCACTGGTTTCCTCCATATCTGAAATAATGAAAACAATATCACATGTACATGTTCAACAAATACTAACCCCCAAATAGTAATCTACTTTAATATACAAGGTCTATTCATTCAGTCAACTATTTATTGAGACTTAAGACCAGTAACTATGATTGTAACTGAGGACCCTGTGACATACAGGAATCCAAACCTAACCCAAAGAACTCTCCCAACTAGAGGAGATGAACAAGTATGTAGGTAATTACAATACAGTATTAATAATACAATAAAAGTAACCATAAGATGATACAGGAGTATGTAAGGGAGACATCTTGCCCAAAATAATATAATGAAACTATTTACCTTACAGATGACAAATAAAACCCTTAAGAAGCATTATTATAAATACACATGGAAGACATAAGACCATAAATCAAGGATATGGTTCAAGTTCCCCATTTCTTTCTCCAAGGAAGGTTTTTCTAAGGAGGCACCAAAGGCAGATTTCATAAAAGGAAAGAATTACAGTTGTGAATTTGATGACAAAAATGATGACACACCATTTTAATAACCTAGAAAAAATATGATATAATGCAATCATTAAACTATGATTACATAGAGCCCTGGCTAGTGTGGCTCAGTGGATTAAGCGCCTGCCTCCAGACTGAAAGTTTGCCAGTTTGATTCCCAGGCAGGGCACATGCCTGGGTTGCAAGACAGGTCCCCAGTTTAGGGGCATGCGAGAGGCAACCAATCAATATTTCTCTTGCACATCAATGTTTCACTACCTCTCTTTCTCTCTCCTTTCCTCTCTCTCTAAAAATAAATAAATAAAGTCTTAAAAAAAAGAACAACATTGAAATGCCATGAATTTGATGTTAAGAATGTTCATCATGCCCTGACAGGTGCAGCTCAGTTGGTGGGGCATTGCTCCTTAAAGCAAAAGGTTGCAGGTTTAATTCCTAGTCAGGCCATGTGCCTGGGTTGTGGGTTCAGTCCCTGATTAGGGCACATATGATCAATGTTTCTCTCTCACACAGATGTTCCTCTCTCTCTCTCTCTCTCTCTCCCTCCCTTCCCATTCTTTTAAAAATAAATAAATAATCAATCTTTTTAAAAAATAAAAATGCTCATCACAGCATTTTTTAATAACTTGAAAATAAATTATGATATAATGCAACCATTAAAATTATGATTATAGAAAATTTACTTTAAAAACATTCAATACAATTTTCATAATATGCATAATATATAGTCGACTTCTGGCCACAAAAACAGCATGTGTGGTATTATCCTATTTTTGTAAAGACAAAAATATATATTTATATTTTAAATAAAGAAAAGTAATAATACACAAAATATCAACAATGGTTATCACTGAGTGATGGAATTATGGTTTTTTAATTTTCTTTTGCATTTTCAACAATAAGCATATTAATTTTGAAGAAAACAATTTATTAAAAAGAAAGTTTTCCAGTCATTCATAAAAAATAAATACAAAAACAAGTGAAAAAAAAACACTGGAAATTTCCACATCTGCCTCAAATCACACTCTCCAGAGTAACTAGCCTAAGCACCAACCTGGTATGTCCAGAAGGCCAGTGCTCGGGAGCTAATGTCCAACACAATCTCAGGTCGAAGACCAGCCAGCACCATGGCTTTATATTCCTCTGATGGACTGAGTTCCGTGCGGACAATATCTAGCTTTCCAGAAAGGGTACTGTTGCAGGCAGGGCAGATAGCTGGTGAACGACTAAACTCGCCACTGCCATGCTGATCACAGAAAATGTGAGAGCAGGCAGTGACCCATGCATAACCAGAGAGTTTGATGCGACATTTTCGATAATTACAAAGCAGCATGTCTTCACACAAAGACATAACAGATATTGAGGTCCTAGATTCCAAAATGAGTCCTAATAAGGGGTAAATGAAAACGTCAAATAAATCAAATTGCAGTAAAAATTAAATACATAAACAACCAAAAAAGTTCTAATTTTGTGATAATAATGTATACTTATGTTTTTGCATTATAATTAATATATTATTAATATATTGATTTTAGTCACTCAACCATATTAATAGTGTTCCTTTTTGCAAACCACTATAAAGGTCTTGTCTAAAATTTTAATGAAACAGTCAAAGACATAGGTGATTCCAAATCTTAGTAAAATCAAAAATAATATGTACATGGGGGAAAAAGGTTTAGGAAAGTTTACAAAGAACAAACTAATAAAAACTTAAATTAATGCTTTTTATCATTCTCAATATATAAACAAAAATCCAAATTTATTCTCCATTCATAGTTTGCTAGAATATTTTAGTATTATTTCTCACACTTGGAAGATATAAAAATCCAGGAACTGATTTCAGCCATTCTTCTGTACAAACTATTTTAAGGTTTTTCATATATGCCGATTTCTCAGATTCTTTACCTACAGAGTAGTAGCAACCTGATAGTAGTAAATAGGAACTAACCTAATTCATCCAAATAACTGACCATTATGGACCATCTGTATAAAAGCAGATTTTTAAAAATCATGAGACCAACAATTCACCTGTTAATATAAATACTATTCAACACTATGCTTCTATTTAAAGCATTTGTAAAACTAAATATACTCTTGATAAAGTTACTTTTCAATTATACGGTCTACTCTAATTGGAATTTTAATAATCCACACCAGGCAGCACACACACACCCCCCAATTAGACACCAAGGAAAAAAAAGGTTCAGTTCTCAAATGAAAAATTCTGTCAAGAGTATTGCCTGGGTCACAGGGGTGAACAAGGACGCTGTGACACCTTTACCCCAAATGTCCCCGCACTGTGAGTCTACAACACATATATGGCATCTGCAACCTTATTATGAAACTTATTTTACCTCCAGCAGGGTAATGGGCAAAGGGGAAGCAGAAGAGCTGAGAACAGTTTTGAAGCCGAGATCCTTATCAGGAAGTGCGAGAGGTGCAGCTCATTCCAAATTTCCCACGAGATGAAGGAAAGAACCAATTTAGTGGGCTGTGCAAATTTATGGAGAGCCAAATTTTTGAGGCTTAGATTTACAACATCACTCTGAAATCCTTGGCCAGTTTTCTGAGCTAGTCAGAGGAAATAATTCTAATTACCTACCTAACCTGAGGTGCCCAAAAAACGCGGGAAAACGCGGTGGCCTCCACAACTCCCACCGCAAGAAAGAACTCGTTGCGCCACTACGTAAGAGAGCGCATGCGCAGTCGCCCCGGAGCCTTCTGGGAGGTGGGCACTAGAGTTCCAGCCGCTCAGGATGCTGGGAGTTGCCTGCTGTGCCGCGGTGACTTGGGCTGCGCGTCTACTGGGCATGCCTGTTTCAGAAGCTGTGAGGGCTGGAATCCGACTGAGCCAGGTCTAGGTTTCCCAATTGGGAGACCCAAAGACACTATCATTGAGTGCCCTTTACTGCCCTCCATCTTAAGTGGAGGTAACATTTGATGTCAGTCTCCTGAAGGGCAGAGGCGGCCAGTTAAGAAGCTAACCGAGCTGCCTACGAGTACATGTAGGTGTTTGTCCTGGGAAAAAGTGTGGAGTAGCAACTGGGCAGCACAGGCTTTCTTAGTTTCAGAAAGAAAATTCCCCTAAATTGTGCCACACCTAAAATTGTTCAGCTATCACCTCCGTGTTAAGGTAGACTCCTGCCATTTTATTTTTTGTGCATCTTGAAATGGGCAGCTTTCCAGCTTGTATACAACCTCTATATAGATGTAAACAAAATAGAACATTCCTTGATTGAGAGTCTGCATTACAGCTTTTACACCCCTATATAGATATAAGCAAAATAAAACTTGCCTTGATTAAGAACATTCATTACAGTGCTTGAAATGAAGCAACAGGATCAGGTGCTAACAGCTGTTTTTGAGGTAACCTGCCTGGATCTGCTTGTGATTGTTTGAATGCTGTTACCTGTTACTTTTCCTGATCTGTACTAACTGCGTGATTTCGACTGAGGAGGGGTCCTCCGGAGATAAGCCTTAATGCTGTTTTTTGTAGTCCTCTTTCCGGATGATGTGAGTCCAGTATGAATTTGTAAGATGCAATCCAATGAATCGGCAACATGACGGATACCAAGCCCTGCAAACCGTTTACGGGTCATGAATCTGTAATACTAAACCTTTCTTCTTCAAACAAAAACCCATCCTAATTAAATAACTTTCTACTAGTTTTCTTTTTTTACACTTCCTAAAATGTCTGTCTTCTGAAAATTTAGGGAGGTAACTCAGTTTAGATAGTGGTACAAATTGGATTTAAAAATTTGATGTTCATATGTAAAACATGTAATCCTTAACATCTATTTTGGTTATCTGAGCCTTTTGTGCATTTTCTGGATTTGACTACATTGGTGTAGTCAAATGTACAAATATTAAAATACAAAAGGATACAATGTCATTTAAAGTCATAAAACACAAAGCATCCAAATTTCACCAGCAAAAGCACCTAACTTTGTGATCCTGGCCCAGTTACCTTTGTTTTCAATATCCCCTCCTAGTTCATTAAGATTATTCCACTGATTCCCAAAACCTAGTATCCTCCATACCATTTTCTGTTTCCTCTTTTCCAGCCCATTTGGCCAGAAGCCTGTAGGAGTTTCTCCAGTGCTCTCTCTCCATATATATATGGATATATATGTGTATGTATCCATATATATATGTATATATGTGTGTGTGTGTATAGATACAGATATACACACACACATACATCTATATAAAGGGGCCCTATAGTCTTATAACAGTAGTCTGTAACACCAGGAACTAACCTACTTCTTGTTGGCATGTGTCCTATTCCCTCATAGCATAGATAAACCCTTCCCTACCTTGTTTCTAGAGTGCTCCTAGAGATAAGACCACTGAAATAGTCAAAGCTGAGATACAGAGAGACCCATTCACCAAAGTTTTTAATTTTTTTCATGTGTTTATTGATTTCAGAGAGGAAAAGAGAAACACCAATGCAAGAGAGAAACAGATTGGTTGCCTCCCACACATGCCCTGACTGGTAATTGAACCCGCAAGCTAGGTGTGTGCCCTGACCGGGAATCAAACCCCCCAGACTTTTAGTGTACAGGACAACGCTCCAACCAACTGAGCCACATTAACAAGGACTCATCAAAGTTTTTAAAATATCGACTATTAAATATCAAGCATATCAAAAATGTACGCATGACCATCACTCAGCTTTAATAAACCCAAACCTTTCTCACTTTTGATACATTTTAACGAACACATTACAGATACAATTGAAGGCTTCCCTGTGTATTCCTTAACCACATTTTCTCCAACTACTCAAGAAGTAAAACAAGCCAGATTTGGGTGCTTACCATTCTCATACATGCTTTTACACTGTATGTGTATATGTGTATGCATGTATATGTACATGTATGTATATGTGTACATGTCGATCTTTGTTTTCATGTTCTAAAACAACTAAATTTATCACATAGTACATATTACTTGGCTATTTTAACTTATCATTGTTTTTGAGATGCAGTCAAGTTAATACACATATTCTGTATTCATTCTAACAACCAAATACTAGAAATATACAATTTATTCATTTTCTAATGGACACTGGTTCCCAGTTTTTACAGTTAAAACAATACTAACATGAATTTTCTAGGCATGTCTTCTTGAGCACACATGCCAAGCATTCTTGTAGAAAGTAATACCCAGAGACTGGGTTAGTGTATAAGCATCTTCAAGTAGACTAGTTGTTGCCAAACCATGCTCCAAAGTGTAACTTAAATTTTACTGCCACCAGTGAAAATGAAAGCCCCTTGCTCCAGACCCATCAGCACATGGGTCAGGTTTTCTGTTTTAATTTTTGTTGGAATCCACCCTGCCTGGTCTCAGGAAGCTGTAGCCCCCTGTAACTTAGGCTGAGTGTGAGACCTCCGAACCAGGAGCTACTAAGGAGGCAAAACTTATTTCCCTGGCCTGAACGCTGCAGGTTCTGTGCCTGGCCTCCTATGCTTGATCAATTAGCCAATGACTGGTAAGATTTCCCACGGGGGGGAATTGCCTAAGACACACATGATCACAAGGAGGCCTCAGGGAAGAGACTTGGGGCTGTGGAAATGAAGGGGTGATGGACATCAACCCCTGCCCCCTCGGCTTTGTCAAAGCCTGAGTCCTTGTTCTTAGATGTGAGAAATCCAAGTCTCCTGGCTGCCTTTGTCTTCTGTTGACTCAAATCTGCGGAAATAACAGGGGTAGTGCAGCCCAGACCCGAGTCGGTGGACCCCTGGGGTAATCAGGCCTGGGACATAGAATATGCAATATCCTGTAAGATCTGCTTGCTGGAGGATGTTATTAAATTAGAATATGAAGGCACAGACAGGAAACCAAAACTAGCCTTTTGGGTCCTGTAGTCTTTTCAAATGATAAAACTCCAAACTTTGCCCAGAATCCCAGCAGGAGTTCTGTCAGTACCTTGGAAAGTTACCTATTCCTTTTGATCTTTTCTGCCAGACTGTAATCCACAAACTGAGTGTATTCTTAATAAAAAGCCTTCTCAGGTGGGGGCTTGGTGTGCTCTCCACTAGAGAGAGTGGCCGTTTCATCCCTATTTCCCCACAGGACCCGGTTGTCTCCGTGTATGTTTTTCTCGTGTTTCACCAAGCCATCTGCAGCATTCCCCAGTTACTGCAGGCCAGTGGCTGTGTCAAATTTTTGCCCATCTGATGGCAGTGAAATGGTTATCTCAATGTCGTCTTAATTTGTAACTCTGATTAATAGTGAGATTAAGCATCTTTTCAGGTGAACTCAGGAGTCCTCATCTGTGACTTGCCCATTTACATCCTTTGATTATTTCCTTAATTTATATGGAATCTTTTGTCAGTTATGTGGCACACAAATTTATCACTTTCCTTTTTGTGCTTATGTCTATTCCAATGTCATATCCTTTGTTTTCCTATAGGTTTTAAGTTCTCCTTTTGTTCTTTAATTTTTCTTAACACAAGGAGTCTGGATAAACTGACAGCACAAGTTGTGCTTATATACCACTAATATCATCTAATTACAAGTTATAGTCACCTTTCAAAAATGATATATTTTTAAAATTTCTATTTATTGATTTTAGAGACAGGAATGAGGAGAAAGATGGATTTGTTGTGGTACTTATATTTATGCATTCATTGGTTGATTCTTGTATGTGCCCTGGCCACAGATCAAACCCACAACACTGGCACATTGGAACCAACTGAGCTACCCAGCCAGGGCCTCAAAATGATGTTTTTACCAGAAGCTTGATTTTAATCTTGTATAGATATTCTAAATACATATCGCTATATTATGAGATAATTTTCCTTCCCATTCTTTGAATCTTGGACTGTTAGCATCATCTACTTTAAAACTAATTTGATACTTTTAATGGAAGAATCTTAACCTAAAGAATAGGTTTCATATTCTAACAGAATTTATCAGAGTTGTAAACTATTTGTGTGCTTCCAGTATAAGCATGAGTATTAAATTTCATTCCAAAACACAGTGAGGTATACCAAACTTCCAAAATTTGAACGTGTACTTTATACACTTTGCATGTTAAATATACCTTCATGGATATAAGTGCAGTATATAAGGCAAAAATTTCCTGTACTTTATCTTAGCCAAAACAACTGAGAATATTTCAACACTAAATATAAACCAGAAATAATGACTTTTTAACCATACTTATGTGCAATTTAAACCAATGATAAATATCCATGCAGTAAGGCTATAAAATGTTCATAATAAAAGATTTTCTATTAAATATCACAAAGCTTTTATATATCTATTCCTCACATACATAGGGTGTTTTCACAGCCATTCTTTGTTACCTCTTAAAGGATCAAACATCATAACCAGACATTACGAGTTTTAAGTAGACTCACTAATACCCTGATAGTTTAATTTACCTATCTATACATTTTACATAAGAGTCAAAACTTACATCCCAGTTATTCTATGTAAATGTCTTGCTGAAATCTCATTAAAATGGTTGCCATTTTCCAGGGATTAAAAAAAATAATAAAATCAGTGGAGATTTTGATTGATTTCAAATATTTTTTGAGCATTTATTCTAGGCCAGGTGATAAGGATAAGGAAGTTATCCTGCTTTCATGGAGTTTACAGTCTAGCAAAGAATCTAAGGATGATAAATGAAAATATTTTACTTTTTCCTTTGTTTGCAGCCTTTTATATTTTTTGCAAGTTGATTCTGTAAATGATTCTGATGAGAAGTCAGCTACCCTCTTAATTTGAAGAATCATCTTCATCTTCATACTGCAAAAAAAGAATATTTTTAATATCGCCCTGAATATGTGAATAATCACTCAGTAGAAAACTGAGTAAACCATTCAAAATTTATACATGAGTGACTTCAGTAATTCACTAGAGCTCTTTCTTACATAGCCCTAGATCAGTGCTATTCAAATATTATTGTAATCAAAGTTTTCTCTATAAACTATATCTTCACGTCACCCTGGCTGGTGTGGCACAGTGGATTAGGTACTGGCCTGCAAACCAAGAAGCTCGCCAGTTCAGTTCTCAGTCAGGGCACATGCCTAAGTTGTGGGCCTTGTCCCCAGCTGGGGGCGTGCAAGAGGCAACCCATTGTTTCTCTCGCACATCAATGTTTCTTTTTCCCGTTCCTTCCCCTCTCTCTAAAGATAAATACTGGTAAGTAAATCTTTTAGAAAACCTATATCCTCATGTTTTAAAATTAATTTAGTTTTTTTTAATCACAAGTAAATTTTCTTAATCCAGCATTACCACCTGCTTTGTAACTGTTTGACTCCGCAAAAATCAGAAGGCACTAATGGACAGCCAACCCGTCCCATGGTGCTCTGAGTGAAGACAAGTCAGCTTAGATATATGATGGACTAAAATCCCACTACCTAAGGCTCCAAGCAGTGAGAGGAACAGCCATCAAAGCTTACCTCCAACCATTTTAACAAACATTTTAATAAATGGTCTAAGAAATAGTTTTTCAAAATATCACATGACTCTTACAGGAACCACTTGTTCACATCTAAATTTTTAAAGAGTCAGTCAAGAATGAAAAGAGCCATTAAATATCAACTGATCCAGCTAGATAAACAAAATGAAGAATTAGATGATAAACTAGTGGCAAAAATGATTAACTAAAGAAAATGTTATCTGACCAATTATATAGAGATACACACTATAATCCTTACTACCATATTTGCTTAAATCTAGAATTAAATTAGGCTTTAAGGTAAAAGATAATGAGGAAGAGGCCAATTGGAAGATGCACATAAGCAATAAACAGTCTCCAACATTATGCAGATATAAGAAATTGCCAGGTAGTATAAAATCTAAGATAAATATACACCTGAACACTGATAAAATAGCAAGCATCTTCTGAGCGTTTACCATATGTTTAACAACATTCTAAGCCCCTCACATTTATTATCTAATTTAATCTTCAAATTTAAGAACTATTCCTTCAAGTCAGATGCTAGTATTTTCTTCTTTTATGATATAAAGATAGAAAACTGTACTTGAACAACAATTAAAATAAAATTTAAAAAAAGATATAAAGACACTAAGACACCGAGGTGTTAAGAAACTTGCCAAGGTTACATAGCTGGTTAAGTCATGGAGGACAGATTTGAACCCAGTTTGACTCCAGAACCCATATATAACTACTATACTATGCTACCTCTCAACATCTTTATGTAATTCACTTTTACAAAAATTAAATTTGTAGCACCTTAGCAGAACTAGCCATGTCACAAAGCTGAATTTTCAAAAATTCATATGTGTGTCAACATATCTCAATCTTAACATAAGCCTTACCATAAAAGAAAAATGCAGATGGCATGTTGTATATCCAGGACTTACAGCACCCAAGAGTTTCAAGGCTGGGAAAGAAGTTTCTAGAAAAAAAACTGATATCCAGTTCTGGCCTCCTGAAATTTCATTTCTGTAAAAGACATAGCCAAAAGCTAAAAAAGTATTGCAAGTGCTGATGTTACTTGGCATTATTTGTATTTCCTATATTTCACCCTCATATACACCTCCATTCTCTGCTGAAACATGCAGGCACGGGCTAAAAAAAAAACACAACAAAATAAGCCTGTCCCATATAGGCTGCTTAAAATAACTTTTGAAATCATATAACAATGAATACAATAAAGCTAGCAAATACAGGTTAACAAGGTCACCTACAGGACCCAATTGTAGAGACTATCCCCAGTATTTTGAGTGTACCCTTTCAGATGATTTCTCAAGTAAATAAGTATACACAAAAGTTTAAGCAGAAAAAAGAGTATATGTTTTGTTCTGTAACTTGCTTTTAACTTAATATATTATTAATACTCTTCCATTTCAAGCAATGTAAAACTGTATCATAACTTTTAAGTGACAGGATAATGTTGCATTATATGGTCTTGTCAAATTGATTTAACCAACTCAGGGATTCTTTTAATCTTAGACTAGTGAAATAGTGATTAGTTAAAAACTACCTAGTAGTTGATAGAATTATATCAGTTAACAGTGCTTTTTCTGTACTGTTTAAATTTTTTAAAGGTTTTATTTATTTATTTTTAGAGAGAGGAAGAGAGGGGAAAAGAGAGAGAGAAAAAAAAGGTTATTTCTTGCACGTCCCCAAATGCGGACCTGGCCTGCAACCCAGGCATGTGCCCTGACTAGGAATCGAACCAGCAAATTTTTGGTTCACAGGCCAATACTCAGTCCACTAAACCACACCAGCCAAGGCTGTACCTGTTTGAATTTTTTGATGAAAGACTCTTGACCTTAATTCTGTCTATCTCAAAAAGATATTTTGGTCAAAAGATCAAAGTACAACAAAGTATTACAGCATCAAATTTATAAAGACTTAGGAATTACTTAGGACCATAGGATATATCCCAGTAAGCATTCCAAGAAACAGAACACAGTTCAAGTGTTTTCCCTAGTTTTAGTCTGCTCAGAGCATGTGTTTAATCAGGATGATCAGCTGAAACACGGACTTAACATGCATTTCATCATGGCAAACTGTAAATGACTGGTAAAGGGCAAATCAACACCACTCCTTGTCCCTAATCCAGGACAACCCTGTTAAGGTTAGAACTAAGGCTTTTTCAACTACCAAATTTCAGCCACTAAGAACACTGAGCCCTAGAACTTGCTGGGTGATTAGAAATTCAAATGAGGTAAAAATGAAGATTTTTCTTTCACACTTACTTCTGGTGTCAGATGAATCCATCTTCTAGTGTATCTAGGAACAGAGTTGAACTATAGGATCTATCAACTACCCAGCCTCATCTGTGCAAAATAAAAAAAATTAAAAATACATAAATGTTATGATCACATGACTTGAATGCACACCAGCCTACTCCCCATATAGCCTCAAGGAAAATTGTTAATTCTTTATTTGAATTTCCATTCAGTACTGTAAATGGACCCATCTATTTGCAAAATGTCATCAAATGCCCAAAGTCAGTATTAGATTAGGCCAGAACTTCTACACAAGCTCAGCTTTTTCTATAAATTTAAAAGTTTGGGAAAAACTGTACAATAAGTCCAACCAACTTCTGAAGGGTTGTAACAGTCAACAATCTCACGAGAACAGGTATGCAAAGGGAAGGGGTCATTTGCTGACTGCAGGGCTAAGCAGCCATGGGAACAAACACAGGAAGATGAGGCATCAGTAGCATGGATTACTGCCAGCCTGTGAACTCTACAGGTACGTGACTGCAGAACACAATTAACCAGTCATCAAATTCACAAAAATCCTTTAAAAAGTGTGTGTGTGGAGGGGGGTGGAGGGGAGAAGCTAAGATTCAGACAAATGAGAAAATAATCCAAAATAATCAGTTTTTTCAAAGCATGTTTCAATTTCATTTCAGCCAAAAATTGATTATATTTGACCTTTATTACTGAACTTACCCTCACAATAAACTAAAGAAAACCTTCCCTTGACATAGCAAAACTGAATTCACATCACTTGCAGCCCAAGTTAACCACAAGATGGCAATATAAGAAATTTTAATTTTCTCTTCCAGAGCTTGAGTGTTATCTGAACTTGAAAGTGAAACAGACTGGGCACAAAATTCATCATAGCAGGCCACCTTCAGACTGTTCCCTACTCTTCACTCAATTACTAACTAGAATTTTTTTCTCTTATACTTAATGATCATTTAACTTATTAACTGGGATTTCCAGCAAGATGGAGGCGTAGGTGGATGCACCGTACCTTCGTGAACAACCAAGATTAGAACAACAACAACAATTTAGAGGCAGAATAACACCCAGAAAGTGACAGAGAATTTATCTGAATGGAAGTCGGACAGCCAAGAAATTGAAGTAGACCCTTTCATCCAGACCGGTAGGAGGGACGGAGAGGAGCCGCTGGGCACGGGTCGCAGCACGGGTCGCGGCGTGGAGAACAGAGAGCAGTGGGCGCATAAGGCAACCAGGAGTGTGTAAAGCATCTGGGGCGCACAAGATCGCAGCAGGTGGACCCTGAGTTCACAAGCGGTGGCTGGCAGACCCAGTGAGACTGCGATTGTGGACCAGGGCAAGTGCGCAACCCAGGATCCCAGAGAAGGGACTGAGGTCCCAGGACAACTGAGCTACCACCATTGTTCCCTCCTGCCCCCGCCCCCGCCCCCACATACAACGTCAAAATCTAGCGACTGGGGTGCCCAACCCTGGTGAACACTTAAGGCTCTGCCCCTCACTGTAACAGGAGCAACCAGACCAAAAAAAAAAAAAAAAAAGAGAGAGAGAGAGAGAGAGAGAGAGAGAGACATGTCTCAAACAGAACAGATCAATGCCCCAGGACTTATCCTTTTGAGCGACCAAGAGATAGCCAATCTATCAGATGCACAGTTCAAAACACTGGTGATCAGGAAGCTCACAGAATTGGTTGATTTGGGGCACAAATTAGATGAAAAAATGCAGGTTACCATGAAAGAGATGAAGGAAGATGCATAGAGAACCAATAGTGATGGGAAGGAAACTGGGACTCAAGTCAGTGGAGTGGACCAGAAGGAAGAAAAAAACAACCAAACAGTAAAGAATGGAGAAATAAGAATTCAAAACAATGAGGAGAAGCTTAGGAACCTCCAAGACATCTTTAAACATTCCAACATCCGAATTATAGGGGTACCAGAAGGGGAAGAGGAAAAGCAACAGATTGAACACATATTTGAACAAATAATAAAGGAGAACTTCCCCAGTCTGGCAAAGGAAGTGGACTTCCAGGAAATCCGGGAAGCTCAGAGAGTCCCAAAGAAGTTGGACCCAAGAAGAAACACACCAAGGTACATCATAATTACATTAGCCAAGGTAAAAATGAAGGAGAGAATCCTAGAAGCAGCAAGAGATAAGGGGACAGTAACCTACAAAGGAGTTCCCATCAGTCTGTCAGCTGATTTCTCAAAAGAGACCTTGCAGGCAAGAAGGGGCTGGAAACAAGTATTCCAAGCCATGAAAGACAAGGACCTAAATCCCAGATTACTCTATCCAGCAAAGCTTTCATTTAGAATGGAAGGGCAGATAAAGTGCTTCTCAGATAAGGTCAAGTTAAAGGAGTTCATCATCACCCTTATTTTATGAAATGTTAAAGGGACTTATCTAAGAAAAGAAGATACAGAGAAAACATGTATAGTAAAAGGACAGCAAACTCACAATTATTAACAACCACACCCAAAGCAAAACCAAGAGAAACTAAGCAAACAACCAGAACAGGAACAGAACCACAGAAATGGAGATCACATGGAGGGTTATCAACAGGGGAGTGGGAGGAGGAGAGAGGGGGAAAAGGTACAGAGAATAAGTAGCATAGATTGTAGGTTGAAAATAGATAGGAGGAGGGTAAGAATAGTATGGGAAATGTAGAAGCCAAAGAACTTACACGTATGACACATGGACATGACTAAAGGGGGGATATGGGTGGGAGAGGGTGTACAGGGTGGAGGGGAGTGAAGGGGGGGAAATGAGACAACTGTAATAGCATAATCAATAAAATATATTTTAAAAACTTATTAACTAAAATTACTGCAATTATATTTTTATCATGTCCCTTTTCACTCAACATGTGAAAATCAACATGTCCATGTGGATGGACATGAAAAACTTCAGAACCTCACCTTGACTGGTATGGTTCAGTGGGTTGGGCATTGTCCTATCAATTAAGGTCAAGGCATAGGCCTGGGCTGCGGGCCAGGTCCCCGATGGACAGGCAACCAATCGATGTTTCCTCTCTTTCTCCCTCCCTTCCATTCTCTTTATAAATAAATAAATAAAATATTTTAAAATATAAATTAAAAGGTAAATAAATAAAACTTCATAACCTCAAATGTAATCTAGCTGGAAAAAATAGGACTCATGAAAATTAATGTCCATGGTAAGTACCAAATAAGTGGTGGAGAGACCAAGTGCTGTCAGGAAAGAATCATTGGGCAAGGAAGACTACATGAAGAGAAATGTAGATCTTAAAAATGAGCCTTAAAATTGCACTTATAATACTGTATTATATATTTGAAAGTTGCTGAGAATAGATTTTAAAAGTTCTCATCACAAGAAAAAAAAATGTATTAACTAGGTGTAGTGATGGATCTGAACCAGATTTATTGAGATTATCATTTTGCAATATATACAAATATCAGATCATGTTGTACACCTGAAACTAATATTATATCACTTACTTCTCAATTTTTTAAAATTGCACTGTCCAGTGGGTTATGCCACACACAGCCATGTAAATTAAAATTCAGTTAAAAATAAAATTCTTGCCCTGGCTGGTGTGACTCAGTGGATTGAGTGCCAGCCTGTGAACCAGAGGATTGCCAGTTCGATTCCCAGTCAGTGCACATGCCTGGGTTGCAGGCCAGGTCCCCAGTAGGGGGCACACAAGAGGCAACTACACATTCATGTTTCTCTCCCTCTTTCTCCCCTCCTTCTCTTCTCTCTAAAAATAAATAAAATCTTGTTTTTTTAAGTTTATAAAAATTCTTCAGTCACAGCCATTTTTTAATTGTTTAATATCTGCATTTGGCTAATGGCTACCATATTGGACATTATAAATACAGAACATTTCCATCACAAAAAGTTCTGTGAGACAGTGGTGCCTTAAATGGTAGATATAACTAAAATAAGCTGATAAAACTATAGAAATTGTTTTACTCAAACTTCACAATGACCTTTTCTTATGAAGTTTACACAAACTTCACAAGAAAATTTGAGGCTCAGAGAAGTTAAATAAATTTTCTAATGTCACCAAGATATTAAAGCTAGGATTTAAATCCAGTTCTGTCAAGACTCCCTATTTTCACTTCAACATGACATGAGAAGCAGAGCTACAGAACATGGTTTGCTTTGGAATGCAATAACATACTATAGGTTGGAAAGAAAGTGAGGTGTTGCAAGTACCTCAGAATGCTTTATGTAAAATATTTCAGATCATCAGCATTTGAGATTAACTAAGGGAGTGTAGACAGGAAGCAAGACATGAAGTCAGAGGTTTCTATAGTTTTAATATCTACCTCAAAACTCCATGATCCAAATACATCTTACTGAAGAATAATTATAGGTTTAAAGGTGCAACTTCTCTATTTGTCTCATCTCACAAACAAAACCCAGATTGCAAAGGGGTCTTAGCACATAATGCAAAGCCTAGCACATAAATCCTCATGCCCTTCCCAAATTGTGATGCTCCATGCAGGACTTTAGTCATGCTTCAGCAAGTGTCATTCTACCACATAAGGCCACTTCATGATTACTGAGTATTAGTATAAAGTACCACATTTTGCCATGTGAAACGTGCACGTTTTTGCCCAAATTTTCAAGAGAAAAATAAGGATGCGCATTATACATGGGTAGTACTAATTCCATACCTATGTGAATGTTAATTATTTTATTTATACTTATGTGTTAAAAGTGTAATTCTAGAAAGCAATAATGGTATCCATATGCAAAATACTACCCTAGAACACAATAATTGGCTTTGTTTCTAAATATAAATAAATAAATAAATAAATAAATGGATTAAAAATTAAAACAAAAGGTTTTTTTCCCTGAAAGTTTAGGCCAAAAAACATGGGTACACTTATACACCACAAAATATGGTAAATATTTTGTAAATACCCCATAAATAATCAGTGACACACTCATTTTGTTTTCTGTGGGAAGTGGTTCAAAGTACTGGTGCTTATGGCCAAAGGGTTCATTTTATGTGAACAGATGATTCATAAAAGCCTGATACAAACTAAAAACTGTTAACACTAAATCAACTGATGCTTCTGTTTTATTATATTACCACTCAATTTTACTCAGTGCCTACTGTGTACCTAGCAATTTGGGTTAGTACAGTAACTCAAAGACTCTCCTATCTCTTTTAGATAGATAAGACACATATTCCTGTGACAGAGAACACTTTAAGGCATGAAATCTTGGCCAGAATTGAAGCACTTGCCTTTATGGTCCAATCAGCCTGTAACTATTCCTACTGAGAATGTCCAAATCCAAGCCCAATTGATTTTTTAGGGGTCTGTAGCAGATGTTATACAGAGGCTTTCACAGTGCCGCTTCTGGGCTAGCACACAGAGTGCTGAAGACCCCAGTCTTTCTTCTCTGGTGGATTCCATCTTTAACCTGAAGCAAAGGAAAATACAAAACTTTGTAGAAAAAATATATGCTAAATTGGTTGCTTGGCATAGTTCTCTTTTAGAGATAGGGCACTCTCTTCTATAGGGCACTACTATCAAACAAACTCTGAAGTTTGGTTCCCCAGCTACTGTCTGCTATTTTAGCCAAGAACAGTGATTGCTTTAACCTTTCAGTGCAGGACAAATTTACTCAGAACATATCTGAAATAAAAGTTGAGATCAGAAACATGACTAACCTGTGTAGTTCACCCCAAGAGACCACCATTTTAACCAGTCACATTGCTGGAGTAGCAAATGAAATGCTTTGGGTCAAAACAACAGGAATTAATTTAACTTGAAACCAGGATGCAAGAGGAAGTAAAGCCTTCTATTCTGTTAACTTGATATTTTATCTACTTCAAACTTTGCCTATCTTAGAATATATAAAGCACTTTTCATATATTACCTCATTTTGCAAGGACTATGTCCTCTCCATTTTACAAATAATGTAAGCAATGTTAGAGACTTAATAGCAGGTAACTTAGCTCAGTGGTTAAGATAATGGATTTAAGTTGGACAGAACTGGATTTAAATCTTGGGTCCCCTATATATTTGCTGTGACTTGGGACAAGTTATACAACTTCTCTAAGCTTCAGATACCCTTACTACCAAATGAGGAGGTACCACCTACCTATAATAATTGTTGTGAAGATAAAATGAGGTAAAATATAAAATACTTTAATATGTTTCTATTAAGTGTTCAAGCTCAACCACCTAATGAGTAGAAATGCAAATATTCTGCCTAAAAATTTCACATTTTTCATAACAATCTTGAAGCCAGGAAAGTCACTCATACACTCATAAGGTTTCTTCCAAATCCAAGATTTGGCATCTTTTAAAAAAAAAGAACTTACTTCCTCCTTTCCCTCATTCCCTACTTAATAGTGAAGACACCAATGTATCGTGTGGAAAGTTATTCAACAACAAAATCATTCTTCCACCAGAAAGAAACTAATTTTTCTCCCAATTGGCAAGCTTCCTAACTAAAAACTAGATGTTTCACAAGACATGATCTTAGCCTTCTAAGACTTTAAAAATAACTTTGAAGGAATTCCCAAAAGCTTCCATTTTTTTAATTTTGCATGTTTATATCCCAAAAAACATTTTTTTTTTCTAACAATGTTAAGATATGAGTTTACTCACTTAGCACCCTAATTTCAGGAAGGTATCAGCACACATTTTGCTAAGTAAGCACTGAAAGCGTGCTCCTTCTGCCCTTGTGAATACAAAGACCACATGGTTTCTCTGGTTAATGTTATGGTTCCTTCTCAGCATTAGATGATCCCTTAAACTAAAGTGGGCAAAGAGGTACTCACATAAAAGCCATCAGCACAGTGTTACTTTTAATGGAAAATTCTTTAGTGCTCAATCAAGATATTTATGATGTTGGTTTGTTTCTAGTCATCACTGTGTATACAAAGTAAATATAAGTAACAGGAAGCACTATACACTGAGAGTCCTTACAAATAAGTATTTAGCATCCAGCACAAATAATGCCCCCTTTTTATTACAAAATCATAAGCACATGATTCTGTAAGATAATGATATCACACTCAAGAACACCATATGACATTTTAGGTAAAATGTTCAAATTAAAACTATAAATTATTACACCCATATTATTATCCTACCAGCCACACTGAAAGAGGCCTTACTTCTGCCAGACCCTGTATATCAAAACCTAACTGAAATGTTGTATGTGACAACTGACTTATGTATAAGACTATTCATTTTGGAGGAAATAACAAGACTGTAAACTTAAATGTCCAACAATAAAGATTAAACAAATTATGGTTATATATATACATTAGATGACTATGTAATCATTATAAAGAATGTAGTCGCTCTTTATTTACTCATTTGGAAATCTTAGGCAGAAAAAGTAAGGTACATGGAAGAGTATGTATGTAGAAGAGGAAAGTGTAAGTGCATATATTTGCTTATATCTGCATAAAATAGCTCAGGAAAGATACACAGGAAACTGCTAACACGTATTGGGGAGGGGAATCATCAGGCTTAGCAGACTTCACTTGAATATACTTTGATCTTTTTTGAATTTTGAACCACATGAATATATTGCCTATTCAAAAAGTCACATTAATTTAATAAAGCTTGAAAATGATAAAAATTATGGGAGGCCTATAACTAGCTATTACTACATTCTATATACTAGTTTATGTCTTTCTCATACCTTCTGCCTATAAGGGTAACAAATACAAACATTTTATTTAAACTAACATATATTAAAGAGAGAAATGGAAATCAAGTCAAATTACACTTAAGATCATTCAGCAAAACTATTTATGAGAAAAAAGACATACTAAATAAACGCATCACTTACTTTTAAAAGTTACCTAACATTTATTATATACCAACTAGTGCCTGGCCTTCATATATTTTGATCTTCAAAAGCTGAGCCTTGGAATAGTTCACTGACTCACCAAAGGTCACCGGAATGGTAAACTGAAGCACTAGAATTTGATTTAGCTCTGCACTAAGCTAAGGCCCCTGGCCTTTTTTAGTACATCTTAAGCTTTTTAGGGCATCCTCACATTAAAACTGGTAGCTCCTCTTAGGGCTCACTAAAATCATCTGACTTCAGTGTTTGCTGCTTAGTCTCTCTAAGAAAAGTAGAAGGCTCTGAGCAAAGACAACATCCCCTGCAGCTTCCACAAGCCCAGTAAGGAACTGGGCCCTGAAGACACAGAAAAATTAAAATGTATGGGTCTGAAGTCCTCCCAGGATCTATCCTTTCCCTCGGAGATATCATTCAAAACAGGGCTAGACTAATAACACTACTTTTTCCATCAAGTAAAATGAATCCAAGCAGTACCCAGGAACACATGCACTGTGTTCAAGGAGCCAGGTCTCGGGAAGGAAGGCAGACCCAGTATTGCAGGAGCCCACGTGGGATCAAGCCAGGCAGAACATTTCACTGCCTTCCTCGATGTTCAGCAGCCAAACTTAACTGCCTTATGACTAACGCACACACCCCAGTGCTGGCTTGAGATAAAGGCCTGCCACCAGGACACATGGCTCAAATGGAAGATAAATTCAAAACAGTTAAAAAGTAAGGGCACACTTACCACACCACCACTAACTGGAGAGAGAGAAAGCTGAGACACAGGAAGTGGCTTTAAGAAGTGGCCTCAGAGCCTGATTGGCTAATGAGTAAAAGCAGATTCCCTCCTCCTTTACTTTCAAAGGTATTGAAGTAACCCAACCCCCCTCATTATGTGTTAATGAACCATTGATGCTACCTGCACTGTTTTAGGTTGAACTTTTTAAATCAAGTTTTCTTTTGAGCTAATGTACCTAGCACAAGTGAATACAGCTAACTCGGGCTACTTATATATATTCTTGTTTAGATGGGCCTACTGAAAATAATTTTCATTCCTTTAGGATATCTTCTTATCCTTTGTGACCTCAACATGGTTAATTTATGCAAGGTAATTTAAGCAAGGTTTCATTCTAAACAGTCTAGATCAGTTCAAGTATCATTCAAGTTAATAGGCATAGAGGATAAAACGTGAGTGGTTAAAGGCTTAGCTTTGAAGTAAAATTCAGCTTTATAAAACCTTATTAAACTAACCCTTTTCTTTCTAGTTATTTTTCCACCATTTTTTATCCCTAGCTCAAACCCCTTTGACTTGTCAATTTTTTACAAATTTATTGTTGTCTAAAAGATATAAAAGCTTCCTGCTCTACACACTTCTTTGGGTCTCCATTCTCTTGTGAAGTCTCCCATGTCTGCGCAAAAGTTCAATAAAGTTTATATGCTTTTCTCCTGTTAATCTCTCTTTGTAAGTTTAATATTCAAGCCCAGCCAAGGATCTTAAAGGGGTTGAAGAAAACCGTTTTCTCCCTTACAGTAGCAAATGAAAATTATTTCAAAGTGCTGAACAAGGATATTCTGGGTTGTGTTTCATGTGAATTATGATCATTTCCAGGATACTTTTTAGCTGCACAACCTGGAATAAATTTTTTAAACTCTCTGAGACTCAGTTTTATCCCCTAAATCATGGTGATAGTGAAGCAGGATAGTGAGAAGCTAGGGCAAGTAGAATAAGGGGAACTGAAACAAAATAATTAAACAAGGCCAAACAATTTGGTAATTTAAAGTCCCCTAAAGAATCACAAGGTTTTATCTTCCCTAACCAAGAACACTTAGTTACAGATGGTTTATACATTCCAGACCATCCCGGGGCAGACTGGCCTTGGTCCTGGTCCCTCTTCAATCATGTTCTTTGAAAATAAAACTAACCAAAAATAAATAAATAACCCTGATTCTTTTATACACATTTTGATGAATCAGCATATTGAAGGACACACCTGAAAAGCTAATGTTAAGACCCTGCCCCAAGACTTCCCCTAGAATTTCAACAGGCCAAAGAAAGATAAAAAGCCTGAGCAGCTTGCTCTACCTCCTGGGATCATGCCAACACTGTTCCCTTCACAGGTGTGCATCTCCTAAATTCCCCTATACACTCATTTTGATACAGCAGCATATTAAAAACGCACCTAGAAAGCTGATGAATATTCTGTTAAACCCTCCCTAAGATTCTTGCTTGCAGGAGAAAGATAAAAACCCCCAAAACAAAGACCCAGTGTGGGCTCACTCTAAATAATGCCCATGCCCCTTCTCAGGCATAAACTTTTTACTTTCCTTCTCCTAAACTCTAAGGGTCCACACAAGACTTGCAATCAGGGGAACAGCAGGCAGTGGCAGCTCATCCTGGGCTTACTCCCTGAACCTGCCTCCAAGGCCCCCCTTTTCTCTGACTTCCCAGTGAGCTTACTTCTTTTACTGTAACTTCTATTTCTTAGAAAGCCGAAACAGCCCTGCCTAGGCCCTCTCCTTTTGCTTCTTCTATCTGAAGCCCTTCCTTTGTTTCACTGTCCCTAGCTTTAATAAACATACTCTCAAAGTCACCTGGACTCTGTTGTGAGATCTTTCCTGCATGAAATGAAGAACCCACACACTACCCGTGGGCCAGAGGCAGACCCACTCCAGACCCAGATGCCATGCAGTAACAATAGTCATACCTACTGAGGACCTGTAAGAACTTTAATATCGTAAATTGTGGCCCAAAATTTGGATTTTTGCTGCTTGAGCTTTGAAGTTGATTGCAGAGCATAATGTTGTATTTTTGGGCTCTGAACTGCCCGCAGAGCCAGCAGCCCCCACTCTGTGTTGATTGTAATGTTTGATAAATTGTACACCTTGCATCATTGTTAAATGATACTCCCTGTACTATAACTGTGTGCTCAAAGACAGCCCACAGGCTATCTACAGGCTTGGGCTGCTTTCATTCTATAGGCCTGGGCTGAAATAGGACTTGACAAATGCTTTATTATATATTACCCTTTGTTTTCACCTCACAACCCCACTAGCTTGATCACTGAGTCAGCCAACCATTGAAAGTCCAGCTGCCCCACCAACAGAAAACAAATGATATAAGTTTACAGTCTTGTTTCTCCTAGCAACGCATTTTTTAATCAACAGCTCCTTCCAACTTTTGCCTTTATAAACCAGGTCTATTCCCTCCATTTTGAAAATAGGCTTGGTTCAAACTGAGGGCTATATGTCCCCATTTGCAAATCATTACCTGAGTAAACTCTTCAAATTTCTTTCAAAAGGTAGCTCCAGATTTCTGTTGCACTGTTTCCCTAGCATATATACAAATATATGAGAGTCCAGCATAATGACTAGTCCATAGTACATGCTCAATTCATACTCTCCTTCCTTCTTTGCTCATTACCCACTTTTGTGATTAGCAGAGATGAAAAAAAGTAAATAAATGCTTGCATGAGTTTACTTATACTATTCAATTTGTCTGTACATCATACAACTCTTTTTGGATACAAATAAAGCAATGAAAATCAGGTTTTGCTTCTAAATTTCATGTGGTTACAGATCTACCCTCACCCATAATTTTCTACTTTAGCACTAGGAAGATTATCTTGCAGATTTCCTTTTCCAAAGAGAGGTGCACCAGTGGATCATTTTGGAATCCCAGGATGATTGTAGGGTTCTCTGAAATCATTGTAGGAAAACTACTTTAGTAAAGAGCTTTAAAATACCAAGATAATATATATAGGCAGAGATTCACATACCCCACGTGTTCTAGGTATTGAAAAGGAAAAGCTGCCCAATCTCTAAAGTAGATTCTTGGAGAGAGGAATGAAGAAAAATTGGGTTGCAAATGCTGAAATTAGCTGACTCTGCAGTCCTACAGGGGGTATTAAAAATATGTGAGCCTTGAGTGACTCTAAATGGGACACTTTTGGCCAGGCTTAGCACTGAATAAGGGAGATCATCTGCCCTCAAAGAACCTTGCTGACCTAAGCAAGGATCTACTTGAACAAGATGATGATTACAGCACCATAAGTTAATGCAGCCACACCACGTGACAGTGAGTGAAACAGACTCTGAGTTTGGGATGTATTCAGGAGTCAGGCTGCCCCTCCCCCAACCATAGATCTAAATATTCTTACAATTCAGGGGAAGAGAGAGGTGTGTCCATAGTAAGGTGTTGGCAAACAACAATCTCCTCACCCTCTACACATGCACCCTGAATTTGCGGAATTCATTTTGATTGCATCTATATTCAACAGATGATATAAACATTATATAGCATCACAGATTTAACCCATTATCCCCAATTCTTCATGGCCCCACTATAAACAAAACAAAAAGAGAAAAAGAAAGCAAAACTTCCCCCACCCCACCCTGTGAAAACACCCTTTCAAAAACTTCCCTTCTCATCCCTTTTTCTAATTATCACCTGTGATACCAATTAGCTACTCTGTTCATCTCTACCGGTCCTGCACTTTTCTCTTCACCTCTATTCCACTTCTAGTCTTCCTTAGGGTTCATCCTGTTGCATATAGTCCCTAACCTTGAGATACCTGGGATCAGTTTTAGGTCCCTTTGTTTTAATCACAATCCTTCTTCACCAGGCTTTTTGGCTAACTTTTTTCTATTTCTCTGGGCCTGTAATTCTTTCCCCTTCCCCTCTTATCCCATCAGTACCTATGCTGATAATTCTCTTCTTTCTTCCCCATCCATTAGGCACTGGGAATCTCCTGAAACTTGGCTACTATTTTGCTTTCCAAAAATTGAACAAATATATGATGCAATGCAATATGAGTATTACTGGTAAATCCATGGAAATGGTATATTGTTTTAATGTGCTTTATAAATTTTGATACTCAAAAATTTAAACATTTAATTATAATCACAAATTTGAAAATATCTTATTTTTTTCTAATGATTTAAGCTTTTTAAAAGACATACAAATATAATGATTAAAAGGCCAAGCAGTAAACTCACATTTACTGTATGCTCTACAAATTGTGAATGAAAAAGAGATTATGCAATAAACCTGACAAGTTCAAAGGGGCCATGTGGCAGACCTGGCAAGTTCAGTGACCAAAAGTAACCACACAGGATAATCTGATTAGTTTCCTAACTGGGCAGGTCGTAGCAGGTAGTCACATCCTAGACCAATGGCTTCCTTAGCAAAGGTCAATCTTTACCTTAAGTGAGCTCTGTCTTATGTATCTAGGACAACATACCTTTCAGATATGAGAGTAATTTTCTTCTCCTATCCCTCAAAGTCCCAACTACCAGCATCAGACTCAAGACCACCAGAGCATAGGACCACAGAACGCCTCCTTGTTTTCTTGTTCCCTGCATATCTTCTCTACATGATGCAGATGTTAATTATTATATCCTGTACCCACCAATATAAAAGAAGTATGTGTTTCTCCATTTTGCCTTTTATCCAGTCCTAGAGATTTCCCTGCTATGCTTTCTCCTGTCCCCTTAATCTATCACCAAAGGATTTTGTGCACCTTCTTTATGTCTCCTCCTTTGATTGTAATGTATAAAATGAGCTGGGAAACTGCCGTTCTCCAGAACATCTGAGATCTTGCTCCCTGACATATGTGATCAGTTTGCCTCCAATAAACTCATAAAAATTCTCTACATGTTTGGATGTTTCTTAGGCAACTTGATGATATTGTTTAAATTTTTATCTCTTCTTTTTCCTCTTTCTCTTCTTCTCCCTCTCCCTCATTTTTCTTCTGTTCCTGCTATTTTTCATTATTTTATGTATTATAGGGTTTCAGAAATTTTAC